TGGCCTTGTGCCCTAGAAAAAATATGAATAGCCAAGGCCAAAGTGGCTGTGCCCTCCTAAATCCTTATGTCTAGCCCTGAGCACAGTAGGCTAAGGCTGTGGGCCTGTGATCAGAATGTCACTGGTCGCTTTAGTTGAAGCCTGAGCAATGCCCTTAACCTCCTGCTCCAGTATGTTGTGGCTGACCCTGTGCTACGAGCCCTAATCTTACTAGCATGTCTCATGGAGGGCAAGATGAGGTTGGCAAAAAGAGTAAGGCGTATGAGATGATTTATATTGATGTAGTAGAGGTTAAGCTACATACTGTACATACAGATACCAAACTCATCCTCGTGACATTGTGCTGATGCCTATAACCAATATTACATAATGACATATTAGAGATGTCAGAGACGAGCAAAACAAATGGGACAAAATATCTGCAGTGTGGAAATACTTCAGTTAACAACAAAATCCAAAGCAGAGCAGACTGTAAACTGTTCTACTAAACTATCAAGGGATGGTACAAAATGTACGGAGAGAGAAAATGTCAAAGGATAATCCCCGTGCAGTGAAAATAACAACTCATACCCAGGATCGATCAAGCACAATGTCATAGTGGTGGCACACGTAATACTTTCTGAGGTGATACATGGCATACAACATTTTTTTTTGTGGTTTTAGAGTGATGTGCTTTTAAACGATAATAAACCCGCCAAACCATCAGCTTCCACAGACACTAAAAAACAATGATCAGCATCGTCATGATCAGCATCGTCATGATCAGCATCGTCATGATCAGCCCAGCAGGAGGCGAGTCTTAGCGTCGGATGTTTAGCGAATTGTCTTTAATTCGTTTTTTTTTCCCCTTCAGGCTTTCCCTTTTTATTTCATGTAAAAAAATTAAGTGTCCTGCTAGGTCCTGGGGCGGAGAAGGGATTTCACTATATTATTGTTTATCATTAATTTCCTTAAAATATCTCATTTTATTTTCTAGACATCACACAGTCCTAATTGGTATGGGTAAGAAGCAGAAACCAAGCATTGGTACTCATACTTGAAAAAAAAGAGAATTGTTTCCTATGACAGAGTAAAGATGTTTTAGCATAATTTATTAATGGTCTGTAGCCAGCTGACAATCACAGTCCTCGTGTGTAACATACAGTGGTGATATTAACATCGTACATCAATCAGGCTCAGTTATGAGTATATCCTGAAATTTGTTTATGATTCATTCCCTTTCCAAATCCCAAAGCTTCTTTACTGTACTAGAGGTTAAGTAACATACACACTATTTCCAACTCTGCTTCTTAGTTTCATTAATAACTTTACATATTGATGTGCAACAGATACATAAGGTGGTATATAAATTGAACAAACTGTAACAGCTTTACGTAAAGTCAAGCCAACTGCCACTGCCTGTGGGTTGCTGTTAATCGTGATGCGGTGATGGATTATGTCTGGTCTTACCAGACCAGCTGTATCACCAGTACCGCATAAGCCATTTTGACCAGAGCTACTGAATACTGGCTCTTGAGACTGAGTGGCAAGGTTCCTGGTGAGTTCCCCCAACTGCCTGCATTTGTTTGTCTTTGATACACACACGACATTCCTTTAACGAGGTCATATGGCCACCTCCAAAACTGCAGAATTTGGTTAGTTTTTCACTCCTCTTTATCATAACCTTTCACAGTGAATTTGCTTATTCTTTGAGCTACTGGGTCCATGACCATATATTTTTGGCAGGTGAGGCATCACAGTGGGTCAGGGATAAATAAATCCACTGGCATGTCCCAGGAGCTGATCTGAATCCTCTATTGGATATGGGTTATGAATGCAATGGTATAGGTATCACTTTCAATGGTTCAGTCTTCTCTCTTCATCGCTATCATCTTTACACTCATCACACCTTACTACTTAAATGTTAAGGCTACGTCTCTCGCTCCATATCATCCAATTCATTTGTGCCAACCACTTCTTAGCTGTTACTCAGAGTTGCATTCGAAGAGGCCTTTATATCGGTAAACAGAAAATGATCAGCATGTGCATTTTAAGCGCATTCCACCACAATCTAGTCCGACAAACAGCCGTTTCACATTCCAACAATTCCTGAAAAGCCCTTCTATGTGGCAAATGGAGAGAGCTTGATAACAGGCATGTTACAAACAGACATTCTATAGTTATGAACTTTGGCCAATCGTTATTCTTTGGAGAAAACATCCAAGTTCTAAAACAAAGTCTATACCCTGATCCAAGAATTGTTTGGCAACTATAATTAAATGATTATTCACCCCAGTTCCTCAGCCACCCACAGCCCAAACATGGGATGCACAGTGCCACAGATATCCTCCAGATTATGCATCAAGGATAAAGGAGTGATACATTCAAGCAAAAAAACAAAACAAAAAACATCTACTCAACTGACCCTCAGATGACAAAGCTCGCAGAACTATCCCAGCCAATTGATGATACATACACGATTCAAATATTGGTATTTTCTATGAAGAGAGCTAATTGTTCAGTTGTAAGACAAAGCCACATGTGATACGTGAGAAACACTTCTATTAAAACAAACTTTGACCAAAAAGCAATGCAAATACAAGGTTTTCTTCTCCGTTTACAAATATACTATTATTCAGTATAGACATTTTCTCCATTCCAAACAAATGTCTCAGAATAAAAGCAATAACAAATGGCTATATTTGTGGTGCACGAGTCAAATAAAGCAGCTACAACATAAGGGGAAAGTGATTAGGGGAAAATGATTACTTGGTATTGTTGACAGATCACAGCAAACAGTGTACGACGATGAAATGTGTCTTCTGCATTTAACCCATATGTCAAATCCAGAAACTTTCCGGAAAGTTAGTAAGTGTTTGTGAGAGAGACAGGGTGCAGGGGAGTGACAGTGGCATCACAGTGGACTCTGAGGTGAGGTCATTTTTCAATACAAGTACAACGAGTAGTGAAATGTACCGTGATTCAGTCCTGAGGCTGCGCAGTAAGATTTTGCAAATTAAAGATAAACATAAAAAGGGTAGGACTAAAGCTTATGAAAATATATAGAGAAAATATATCCGAATAAAATGACAGTTATAGGAATTGTGCACAATTATAGGTTCCTTGTATCAGGATCTGCATCGGTATCATCGGAATTGGCTCAGAACTGAAAAAATGTGGATCGGCCCATCCCTACTTGATATACCATAAAAATTCGATATACCACCTTGGCCCTAACTCAAATGCACAAAGAACTAATGAGTTGCTTATTCTAGCCCATAGAAATTACCAAGGATGGATCATGCCAAGAATACTTTCACAAAAGCTACCACTAAAACGGCAGGTCCTGTGCAGCCCCCTGGAACACATCAAGTTACGTGACCCACCGATGCTTCTGTAGCGTTCCTGTGAGAGCTCATCACGATATTTCAGAGTATTTCAGGTGTGGAATTTTATCCTTGCAGGCAAGTCATGCCTCTCGGTTTCATTCATTCAAGTCAAATCATCAAAAGAAAACACAATGTTATGCTATATTATGTAGCAAGAGCTGGAAGACACAAATCAGAACAGCAACTGTACAGGTCCAGATTTATTGGCACCAAAAAAAGCCCACCACTATCTATTCTTCAAATAGGACCCAGCAGAATAGCATGTAAAATCTACTGCATTTTAATAGCGTTAAGATTATATATGGTATTCTGCAGCATTAACAGTGCACATTTCACTTCTCTGTGCATTGTTTATGCAACATGAACTGAAGGTAGCTTGTTTTGGTGAGTTGGAAAAGTGTTATCAAAGTTCACTTTAAGCACAGCCTGTCATCTTCTGCCTTTGTTTACTTATGCCTACAATAGCTGTTATGTCAAACAGATTTTAGAATTAAATTTATTTCAAGTACACATTCAGATTAATTATAATTTCATATTACAGTCAAAAGTTCCTAGGGCAAAATAAATGTTTATTACCATCCTTAAAAATGATCATATTCAGCTACAAAGCGATAAGTTCTCAAACAAAACATGGGTAAACACCAGCTCATACACAGATTTCATACACAAATTTGTGACTATCCAAAGTAGTATGGTGATATTTTTATTGGTATTTTCTTTATCATCTGCTATATATACACCATACTATGAGTGGAATCAAGAGAAAGGGGCTTATCAGAACAAAAAAGTGGCTTGATGAAACCCACTAAGCAAAGAAATGCAGGTAGCTGGCAGTATGCACATCTGGGGAGGTGAGTACTACATAGATAGATAGATAGATAGATTCTTTATTTGTCACATGTAGTTATAGCTGCTACAACATACAGTGAAATGCTTTTCTGGCAAAAAGTCCCCCGGCTGTGCTATACATACAAAAGGAATAAGTACTAACATCACAGAATGATTAGTCAAAGAAAGACAAAGAGCATATAGTATATATAGTACACATAGTATATATGCACTTTGTCTTTCTTTGACTAATCATTCTGTGATGTTAGTACTTATTCCTTTTGTATGTATAGCACAGCCGGGGTACTTTTTGCCAGAAAATCCTGAGAACACTTGGGCTAATCATGCATCGAGAGGCAGACCAAGGGGCAGTTCCTGCTCCAGACAATATTTGGGACATAGCCGAGAAATTGTCACACATCCTACTACAGTGAAACTTAGATAATGTTTAGAAAAATTACAAAAAAAAAGGAAGACAAAAAAAAAATCTTCAAAAAGCAGGACCAACAGTATAGTAAGTTTTCATCAGACCAGAGTTTACTATACAGTTGCTAGATGCAATGTCTGTTTGACATTGTACACCAAACAGATATTTTACTTTACTAGATCAAAAGCACTAATTACACTTAAAATATGAGTAATTCAACTGTTTTCAATTTCAATGAAGCACTTACCGCACATAACAGCAAGTCACCTCACCATATATTCAAAAAACACAAAAAGGGACAGATCCGTATTAGGCAACGATTTCACTGCCCTTCATTTTGGCAAGTAAATGATAATAATGAATGAAGTCCTATGTCCTATGTCCCCTATGTCCTGACAGGCCCCGACATCTCTGTGTGAGCCCTGAGGTAGAATAGCCAAGCCGTCGAATTATTACACTTAATCAACTAAGTCGAACACCTACAATCAATACGACATTTACAGTAGTATCATTCTGTTGCATTTTAATCACCTAGTAAGGAAGGCACAGCTTATATAAAATATGAACCTGCTTCTGCTAATAAAAGGCTGTACACATGGTTCTGCAGTGTAAGATTCCCACGACTTGTTTACAGCCTCTATCGTTAAAATTTTTGTATGAATGACTAACAGCGACACAGAAAGTTTAATCATAAAACAATCAAAGGTAAAAGCATGACATGACTAGCATATGCAAGCAAAATAATGCCGTGGTGGATATCTGAGCGTACAGATTTACTAACATGTAGTAAGAGATTCCGCCGTACTAACATGCAGTTTATGGTGTGGCGAAAGATAAACTTACCTCCTACTTCCTCGGCTCCTTCTAGCAGGATGTCTTTGGTGAAGTTGGAAATCTGTTCGGTGAATGAGGACAAGTTTCCCCCAACCTGACCAAGCGACTGGCCAAGCCCGGAACCCAGTCCCCCGAGCCACGATGACATCTTTCCAGGGCTAAGAAGTAATACCTTAAATCGGCAGCTTTCGAAAAAACTAGCTAAGAATTACTATTCTTACACCGACGTAGCTTTTATTTAAATTATCTTGTAAAACATCCAGCTTTCGAAGCGTCAGCTTTGACACCAACCCCGTGACCCACCGATAACCCGTCAGCGTTTTAGTTAGCAGGCTAACTTACCAACTACATAGTTTTCCGTTTAAGCTGAACTACTCCGGCGAAATATCGCAGACGTTCGCCTCAGAAATCCTTTGCCCACAATCAAACTGAACCCCAGGATTACTCTGTATTGCTAAATATTTAATCGTTTCTTTCATCGAAGTGTTATATCCCGTGTAATCAGTTTGTTTGGGTTTTGTGAAGCAGCCGCAACAACGGATTTATGCCTGCCACCTCGACCGCAGCCATCATAGCCCGTATGTAACCGACTGTCACACAGAATACGTGGACAGTCCAGCGGCATCATGGGATGTATAGTTACAGGTAAATAACACGTTAAGCAACTGACCCTGGATCGGTTTATCCGTTTTCCGCATTATTTTAATGCTAAAACTTGAGAGGGTAATCCGATCTCAGATCAGAGACACGTAAGTAAATTCCCTAGAACAGGAAATGATTTCCCATAGATAACTTTGTTCATATCGTAAAAAAGTAATAGATCACGACCTCCATATTTTATGTGTTCTGTCATGAGGAAAAGACATTTATTTTCTGTTTTTTCACGTAGGCATCATAATATTGCCTATTTATATATGGGCTGGTGAAGCCAAAAACGTAGACATAGATACACATTGAAGCCACGTTGCTCTTTATTTAAGCTCACAGCACAGTCTTTGTAAAGACAGAGTATTTGGCAAAGAACGACACCGAAGGAAAAACCTTCACGATCATATTTACAATAAACTCCGCTTTGCATGCTGGGAAGGCGACGACGTCATACCTGCGACGGGTTAGCCGCTGTATAATGAAACAGTAAGCATTTATCAATATTCCGTCAACATGTTTATTCTAAATATGCAGCTTTCACGCGTTACAAAGTTAGGGAATCACACAGCGGGAAATTTAGATACTTGTTGAACCTACAGTAAGAAACTGAAGTACCCAGAGAAACCTGCATAAACAGAGACAACACACTTTCGCCACAGAACAGAGGGTAGAGCTTTTAACTCGCAGCCTTGAAGTTGTGAGGCCACTGTGTTGCCCTTATACATTTTAATTAAATAATCAAAATATTGTATCGCCAGAGCATATTGGGAAATTGTAAATAGCCCCTGTGTGTTATCAATGCTTCAACCCTGTCCGATCCTCGCGTGCCTGTAGTTATTGTGTAAACTAGTTATTAGTTGTAGTTATTGTTGATTTAAATAATTTCTTTGACAAACAAAGCGTTTTCTACACCAGAGGTAGAAAATGATACTTCAGAATGTTTTCAAATGACTTTGTAACTGTTTAAAAACACATATTGCAGATATATGATTCAGCCATGGCTTGTTGGAAATCTCAAAAAGAGTAAATTTTCATGGCATGGTAAAAATCAAATATTGTGTAAGTGTCTTTTTTCAAGGTCAAAGTTAATCTTGTGTACTGGACTTTTTACTACTTTTGGATATGGAAAAAATAACAGTGAAGGGCTATTCAAAAAGTCAATATTTTGTAATGAAATACACAAAATATGGACAAAAGTAATGGGACACACCTCTTAATCATTGAATTCAAATGTTTCATTCAGACCCATTGTTATACGTGTATAAAATCAAGCACCTAATCATGCAATCAGGTTTACAAACATTTGTGAAAAAAATGGGTCATTCTGAAGAGCTCAGTGAATTCATGTCGGGTACTATCATAAGATACGACGTTTGCAATAAATCACTTTTTGAAATTTCTTTCCTGCTAGATATTCCACAGTCAACTGTAAGTGGTATTATTACAAAGTGGAAGCATTTAGGAACAACAGAAACTCAACCATAAAGTGGCAGATCACAAAGTATCAGAGTGGAATCACTGAGTGCTGATGCACACAGAGCGCAAAAGTCGCCAACGCTGTCAACTCAATAACTGCAGAGTTCCAAGCTTCCTCTGGCATTGACTTTAGGACAAAAACTGTGCACTGGAAGCTTCATAGAATGGGCTCCCATGGCCGAGCAGCTGAACATCACCAAGCATCGGATGGAGATGTGAAAATCACACCGCCACTGGACTCTGAAGCAGTGGAAGTGTGTTCTGTCTGGCAGTCTGATGGACAAGTCTGGGTTTGGCAGATGCCAGGAGATTGTTACTTGCCTGATTGCATTGTGCCAACTGTAAAGTTTGGGGGAGGAGGGATTATGGTGTGGGGTTGTTTTTCAGGGGTTGGGCTTGGCTCCTTAGTTCCAGTGAAAGGAACTCATAATGCTTTGGTATGCCAAGAAATTTTGTACAATTCTATTCTTCCAAGGTTGTGGGAACACTTTGGAAAAGGCCTTTTTCTGTTCCAGTATGACTGTGCCCCAGTGCAGAAGCAAGGTCCATACTGGTTGGGTGAGTTTGGTGTGGAAGAACTTGACTGGCCCCCATAGAGCCCTGACCTCAACCCCATAAAACACCTTTGGGTTGAACTAGAATGAAGATTATAAGCCAGGCCTTCACATCCAACATCAGTGCTTGACCCAACAAATGCTTTTCTGGATGAATGGGCAAAAAATTCTATAGCCACACTCCAAAATCTCATGGAAAGCCTTCCCAGAACAGTGGCAGCTGTTATCGCTGCAAAAAGAGGACCAACTCCATATTGATGCCTATGGATTTAGAATGGGATGTCATAAAAATTCCTGTGTGTGTATTGGCCAGGTGTCCCAATACATTTTACCATATAGTGTATATCAGCACAGTGAACCCACAACATCTATAGTGAAAAATGATAAAGGAATTTATCAATCTTATCTTATCAGTACTTTGCATAAAACGCTAAATCAGAATGGTATCTACCATGAGATATAATAGGTTGCATCTCTTTAATACAAAAACTATGCAGTATATAAAAGAAACAATTTGACTGTATAACCTGTTGTCACGTTTATTAAAAGTTAAATTTCTTACAGTTAATATAATCTCTACAGGATGAAACAAAAGTTCAATTAGGAAATGACACAGAAAAGACAAACTCAATAAACCATAACCATAAACCATAATTTAGACACTTGCATTTGCAATTTAGACTCTTTGCAACTCCAGGGGATACTTTGGGTTAATACTCCCTTTAAGTGTGGGTATTTAATCATTCAGAAGGGCAAAGCAAATGGGTAAGAAGGAGAAAAATACCTCACTGTCTTACAGAATGTGCAAACTGCAAAGTACAAGCAATCGCTTCCTTAAAGGAAGGTATAAACCAAGGATCAGAAGCTTGATCAAATGGATTTAATTTACTGGTCCTAAATGAATCATGTATCCATTTCGATGTCCGGGACCTATCTTCTCCCAGGATGGCCATGGTGCATTTCCGGTGTGTATGTCAGTAGAACAATCATCACCCATAGGTGCAGTAGTGCCTGAAAGCCAAGCATTTAGTTTTAAACACCCTTAAATTGTATGATGCTCAGTAGAAAATGTATGCATCGTCTAGACAAACAGCCACATTCTAAAAGCACTCACCATATAGAGAATTACGAAGACTCTTGCTATTGGGTACCGACGCAAAAATATACCCAATCGAATGCTGGAGGGAGAAGGAGAAAGCATGCTGCTGTGTGTTGCTATAGACTTTATTTTGACCAGTGAAATGGGAAAATAAAATAATAATAATAACAACAATAATGATAATAATAATAATAAACAGACACACACACACGCGTGCAACTTATGTACAAACATACGTACGTAAAGAACATCCAGGCTAGTTAAGTCCTTCACGGAACAGATAATATAGAAAAGCTGACCTGAATGTGTCTATCGTGTTGGCGGCCCTGCGCACTTTGCCGTACACGCCAGCACTCGGGCCTTCGGGATCACTAAAGAGGACGGGCACAGTATTCCGCGCCCGCGCACCTGCGCCTGTATGACAAGAGCAAACCACTGACAAGGACTTGGCCAGTGCCATTTTCTCAATGCTCACATACATGTTACAAGTACAAAATTCTACAACAAAATTACTAAATATCAGCATACACTCTACAATTATACTATTTATAGATAAGGATCCATCCATCCAGAACTGCTTGTGCTGGTTATGGGGGCTCTGGAGCTCATCCCAAGCTGGGTTACATCCTGGATGGGATGCCAGCCCATTTCAGAGCATATTTATGCACACACTCACACATAATCATACTCTTTAGGCAAACCGTGAAACACTGATTGGGCTAATTGTCTCGGAACTGCAGGAGGAAATCTACTCAACATGGAAAGAACATACAAACTTCACACACGTGAAGCGGAGGTGGGACTCAAACAAAATTCTCCAAAAGGGTTTTTAACTGAAAACGCTAATTTCCAGCTGTACACACGTCACACATGTTCATGCTTTTAAAAGGTTCCATCTTGTATGACCTTATTCAGTCCACTCACCAGGCTTCTCCATGTTGATACACGGCCCATTGGCTTGACTTCCCTGGATACTCTTCATCTGCTCCTCCAAACGCTCTAACTGAAACACCAGGGAGCTCTTTTCCGTGCCCAGGGCCTCCAGCATGGTCTGCTTCTGAATCAGCGTTTCTGTCAACTGATGGAGGCGACTCTCCAGCTCTGCTTGGCTACTGGTTCCCAGCGTCTTATTGGTCAGCTGATCCATCAAAGAGGGACAAAGAAAGAAGAAAAGAAACTCCGTAGTAAAACAGGCAGCATATAAAGGAAAGGCTTCAATTATTTTACCCCTACTCTTAAACCCATTAAAATGGAAAAATCTCCACAAATAGCAAGTTCTACTGTAACAGAATTAGAATCAGAGGAAAATCTGGCTACAATTCGAAAAGAATTGACTTATTTTGTTTGAAATACCATCAGGCCGCTGCTGTAGTATCCCAACTATCAAATTATACTGCATAATGGATTGCACCCTTCACTAAATGCATGACATTTTGGTAATGGAATTACCGCTGCTGTAGTTGCCCAAATAGGGAGCTTTCAGTTACAATTTTCTGCTATTAAAGTTGCATTATTGAGCTTTTCCGTTTTTTTCCTGTTCCTTTAGTGTGTTATATAGCTTTATGTGCATGTCGACGGTCTGCAGAGTCTCAAGGCCCAGAGTACGCACCAAAGGGAGTAACTCTCACTGCAGAAACCACTCTTCTCTAATCTGCCTGAAACGCCTTGTTCGAATTCCAGCCCTTACTTCCGTGACATGGTTAGGTCACCTTGTAACACAATCCTTATTGCCCGTCTACCTAGAAGGCTTTGTTTGCAGATTGCAAAACAGAGGCGGAACGTGTAGGGTAATCTGACCAATCAGTGCACACTGAGCTCATCGGGGGTGGGGCTTAAAG